ACTTAAAAACAGATGGTAAAAATATAGACACCCTGAAAAAAAGCCAGATAATTTCAGGAAATTTAATATTTAAATTTAGAGCATCAGTGCAGTAAGAGGCTACCACATATTCAGTCTAACCCTCCTCTACAAGCAGAGGTTAGGGTCTGCTTTCTAGCCAACAGTTGTGAAATATTCCTCCTCCCACCTGTGAGGAAGCAGGACTAAGGTGACGTGTGTAGAATCGAGCATTGCACCCTCTAGAGCCACACCAAGAACAAAAAGAGTTTCCTATGTGGCACTGGGTTCATTTAAAATTCAAGACTCAAGTATGCCTCATTGGAGAAATCAAAATCCAAAACCAACTAAGAGTAGAACCAGAGTCTTCTTTGAGAGTAGAATTGTCTTGGGTTAAGGCAGTAGTCAGAGTTATAAACATATTTTAATTTTTCAGTGATCTTAAGTAAAAACTAACTGGTTTCTTTTTGCAATAACGTTCTAAGTTAAAAAATTAAATTTTCTGAAATTGTTCTCTTTTGGGGAGAGTGTCGGGGGTCAATATTTTTGTCACCTGTTTTTAAGTTTAATTAATACTTTCTCACTTCCAAGTTTCTTTGTTTCTCCTCTGCCTGGAATGCATACTCCCAAGTGTTCATAAAACTAATTCTCATTTTTTTAACATTTCAGCTGCATCAGGACAACATTTACTAATCCTTGTGACAGATATCACAGCAGTAGCCCATTAACATCTATGTCACACTTTTTCTAGTTGCATAACCATAACTGCCAAGGTGCGCCCATCCCTTTACCTTAAATGCTAGGAAATCAGAGTAAAGTTTAGGCCCTGTACAAGAAAGTCACTGGCAAGATTTAGGTGCCACTCACAGTATGGCAAAGTGAGACAGCAGTAAGAAGTGCTGGAGTCCTGTGGACACAGAGATAAATGTAACATAAGCTCAGAGAATATTAAAACTTAGAGGCAGTCTGATCCAGCTTCCTCATTTTGCATGTTTGCAAAAGTAGGTGGAGAGGCTGGACATCTTGTTCATAACAAAGTCAGTAGAGCATCAAGACTAGAACCCGCAGGAGCAAATACTCCTTTTTACCATGTGTTTCATCTTGCTTTTACGTTTCCCTGTTTATGATCATTACATGCTGAAATGCAAATGTGGTAGCTGATTTAGTGTTTTGTCAGCTGGTGATCAGCTTAATATTTAGTTCCTTATCAGTCAGATGGTATTTAGAACAACTAGTTTTCATTTAAGATCACTGAAAAAGCCATACTCAATGGCTCAGCCTGTAATCCCGCGCCTTTGGGAGGCTGAGGTGAGTAGATTGCCTGAGCCCGTGGGTTCGAGACCCGCCTGGGCAGCGAGACCTCATCTCTACAATAAATCAAAAAATCAGCCGGGCATGGTATCGCGCGCCTGTAATTCCAGCTACTCGGAAGGCTGAGGTGAACGGATCGCCGGAGCCCAGCAGGTCGAGACTGCGGTGGCCGGGAGCGGCCACTGCACTCCAGTCTGGGCGACAGAGTGAGACTCCAACTCAAAAAAAAAGATCACTGAAAAATTTAAATATTTTTATAATTCTGACTACTACTTTCATCTAAGACATCCTACTCTCAGAGAGAACTCTGGCTCCACTCTTAGTGAATTTCATATCCAGAGTTGATTTTTTCTTAAATTTTTCATTTTGGCAAGAGTGGTGAAAAAGGGGCCAAAGTATTAGAGAAGGAGTCATAAAAAGGTGACTTAAATGAAATAATTTCCTTAAAAAGTCACCAGAGACAAACTGGTTTCTTTATTAGTTTGGGTAACAGATAGCTCTAAGGACCCTAAAAAATACATGTACCCTCAAGCTGTTTGTCAGATTGAATCTAACCCAATGAGCTTTATTTTTTTGCATTCCATATTTGATTAATTTGACACAGATTAACGCTATAGCTCTACAAGAGCTTATCCATATTTGATTTAAGCACTGAAATATCTGAACTCTGTTACCTGAGAATTCACAGGCTTTGTGTTCCAATGTAGAGAAGTAGGCAATATTAGGTGATATCATAGTTCTAGTGGTTTTGAATTGGATTATTCAACAATAAAAATACATATACATATTTATGTTTATCGCACCTTATTGTTTTACAGAATAATGTTATTTCTGTTAGTCTCCAAGCTATAATACAAGTATAGTATCTCCTGAAGAAAACAAACTCACCTTACTTTGCAACAAATAAAACCATTCCTAAAAGAAGCTGTGAAAATCTGAAATTGTGTAAACATGTCCTATCATAGAAATACCACATATTTGGTCCCCTGCTATTAGTAAAATGTAGAATATTATGTTCTAGAAGTGGTAAGGAAAAAATTATAGGTAATAATCGGTTTTATTTTAAAATCACCTTTCCCCCAAGCCTTTCCAAGGCAAACAGAAAGTGGAACTCCCTTGTGATGGTCAAAGAGGCAGAGTACGAGAGCTTGGAGTGATTTCTGACTTTCTTATGGTTTGTTAGTAATCAGTCTCAAGAATTCAGAACGTCTGTATCACTGACCACAAGGCTTTTAAGGAAAATGTTTGCGTGTCCCCACTGGGTCAGCTAAGAACGTTTGAATCGTGGCATGACCAGACAAGCAAGAGAGAAGCCTCGTTTCCCGTAGTAGACAGAGGCTGGGAATTCGAGTGTATCATGCAGAGAGACACAAGCTGTTTGGCTTCCATCCTGCAGCTTTCAGAATGTCCTTTGAGGAAGGAGAGAAAGAAAACTTCCTGCTGTAAGAATAATGATGCCCTGAGGAACAAACATCTGTTCTCCTGTGGAGTGCAGCGTGCTTTAAGGGAAGCAGCTGTTATCTGCTCTGAGTTAGAAGGTGGGCTGGCTCCCACCTCCGCACTTCCAAGCCTGGTTACTGGCTGTGTCCAATGTTCGAGGCTGGAATAAACAACGAATGCTTCGTCTAAATATTTTAAAACCTCCTTTCTTCCCATTTCAGCCCACACAACGGTAAATGTGGAACTGCCTTAACAGAGTGCATGTTTTCTTGGGGAAAGATTGTTAGTTTGGAGTATTGGAGAGAGTGACTTTCGCTGAAAGTTTAAACAAGCCTGGTGTGTGTAGGTGAGATCTGAGGGCCGGGGTCAAAGGAGAATATGTAAGTGCCCTCTGATTTGTGGGGAAAACCTACAGCTCTAGGTCGCTCTGTAAGATTTCATAATTTTGACCTTTTTGCTTCACAGTAGATGGAGGATAAAGCAAAGCAATTGGTCCCTCAGATACGAGTAGGAAATTTACAGGGTTTGAGAACCTGGCTCAAATTTCTTCTTTTCTTCCCTCTGTTCCAAACCAAAGACAAGCCTCTTTTGGTCAGGTTAATCTTAGCCTGTTCTGGCTAAAACAGCCAACAAAGTGCTGATGGGGTAACTGGTCCAAAGGTGAAGGAGTTGGGGGCTCCTGCAAATTCCCATGCCTGCTGTGGCCCAGCAGGGAGGCTGGGGGGTGGAGCCTGAGGAGCCAGGGCTCCTTGACTTTGGCCAGTTATTTCTTTGTGGAGTTGGGCTTCAATGTAGTTATTTGTCAGAAGAAGCTGGAAATCCTCTTCTTGCTAAGTTCTCCTGATTTTTAAACAGTATAACACATTCAGTGATTTTTTTTTTTTAAATGTAAAAACAAAAGAGATTGTAAGGCACCTGCCGGGTCTACCTGTTTTCCAACTCCGGTTAATGGGCTTCAGCCCTCCAGGAGGCTTTGAAATCTTAAAAATGGAACTTACAGACTCGAAGTAAGCAAAAGGAATGAGATTTTTCCCCTTCCATTCATTTAATAAATATTCCTATTAAATATTAAAGCTGCATCCATCAGTATAGTCACAATGGATACAAAAGCGTACAAGATACAGGCTTGCCTGTAAATCCTAGTGTAGTTTAGGAGACAGAAGGATAAACATGAAATTAAGTTATAATGAACTTAATGTAATTAAACAGGTATTCCCAAGGTAGGGCTAGCTCCAAGGGGACGCAACCCGGCTTTGGGTGGGAACTGTGCCTTAAAAGAACTCATCAGTTAAAGCATGGGTGCTCACAGGAGATGTAAAAGAACATTAATGAAAAAGAGTCAGTAATGGTTGAAGAAATTGCAGGTATTTGCTATCATTTAATGATTGTAAAATAAAAACGAGATGTTAATTAAAAAACAGATCCCCCTCCGGAAAAACAAAACAATCTTCCCCAGGCCCATTCCAGACCTATTGAATCACAATTCCCAAGTGAGTGTTTTTTAATAGGCACTGAGGTGATTCTTTCTTTCTTTTTTTTTTAGAAAGTGGGATTTATTGAGAGGACAGAAAAGCTCCCACAGTGGGAGGGGACCTTAAGGGGTTGCCATGAGGTGATTCTTAAGCTCAGGTTTGGGTAAAGCAAGTATGGCAGGAGACAAGTTCTGCTGATCAGAGTGCAGAATAGTCTGTCTGGATTGAAGCAGGGCCCCATTCCTTAGCTAACAGGGCCACCATGGGCATAAGGATTAGTTAACCTCTTGCAGCTTAAGTTCTTGTACATGAAAAAGTGGAACTACAGTGTTCACACCATAAGGCTGATCTGAGAATTAACTGTAAACTGCTTAGAACATTGTCATTACCCTTCTTACCACTTGATTCCCAGCTCACAGAACTGAAAGTTTCCAGAATAATTAATAAATATCTGTTGAATGGGTAGGACTGGGCAGGGATAGAGGAGCAGGCCACTGGCATTCTTAATGCTGCTCGCTGCTCCAGGCACAGCCTTAGGTGGGAAGTCCTGTCTTCTCCACCTGGCCTAGCTGGAACCATGTTCGTTACCCCCATGTGGCTGAGGTTAAAAATAAAGTGGATGAGTTGCTACTGTACTAAAAGATTTCTAGTGTATTTCATTAAAAAGAAAATTATAAGCACAAAGTGTTATTTCCCTATAGCCAAACACAAAAACTTTGTGACTCACTGCTGCTTTAATTAACAGCATCATCTCATTTTCCTCTTCTTCCCTTACCTAAGGCTGCTGTGGTACCATCTGCCCAGACCCTTAAAATTACCGACTTCAGCTTCAGTGACTTTGAGCTGTCTGATCTGGAAACAGCACTGTGCACAATCCGGATGTTTACTGACCTCAACCTTGTGCAGAACTTCCAGATGAAACATGAGGTAGGAATGTAGAGATGTCCTTTTGGAAGTCTGTCTGTGTACGTGTGTGTGTGTGTGTGTGTGTGTGTGTGTGTGTGTGTGTGTGTGTGTGTGTGTGTGTGTGTGTGTGTGTATGTAAGAGAATTAGTTTTGAATGCTAGCATAAAACAGGAGTTTTTACATTGCAGCGATTAATATACTGTCAGCTAATGCATACCTTAGATATTTAAAGAATAATTATCAACCATTAAAAACACATTTATTGGCCAGGTATGGCGCCGCGTGCCTGTAATCCTAGCACTTTGGGAGGCCAAGTCTGGAGGATTGCTTGAGGAGCCCAGGGGTTTGAAGTTGCAGTGAGCTATGATCATGCCACTTCATTCCAGCCTGGGTGACAGAGTGAGGCCCTGACGCGAAAAAAATCACACATTGATTGAGCTCATGTATCAAGCACCAGGTTTAAGAATAAGGGAGAGTGTTCCTAAAAGTGAGAGCAGGATGTGCAGTATGACAGGAGAGATTGGTTCGGGGCCGGGAGTCCTGCTGAGGACTGGGAGTGGCAAGAGAAACATCTGGAGAGGAAGGTAAAAAGCAAATCATATAGCACCTTACAAACCATTCAGAGGAGTTTGGGTTTTATCCTGAAAACAGTGATGAGTCACTAAGGAATTGTATGCCAGAAAGCATCATAATCTGTTTGCAGAGGTCATGACAACAATGTACAGGGAAGGACCAAAGCGGAGTGAACTCATTTGGAAATGAAGGAGAGAATAAAGGGGCTTGGTGTGAGCCAAACTCTGAGTAATAGCAGGGTCATCTGTGGGGGTGAGATGAAAACTGATTTTAACCCCTGGTCACCTTATTCACCTCTCAGAAAATAGCAAGCCTTGATACCTTCTAATATCAGCTTGGAGATAACGAAATTCTATTGTTTCATAGTGACTGTCTATAGAGAATCAAAGAATAAGAGAGAATAGAAATAACTATTTGGAAAAAAATCAGTAATCTTGCCTACAAAGTTACTTTTTCTAGTCAGTTGAATGTCTAGTCTTCTTGCTCAGATTTTCTCCTGGAAATTTAAACATCTTGAAGGTCTCCATTATTTAATACTCCATTAACTTATACAATAAAAATTCATTAGCGTTTACTGTGTACCTAGCACTGGGCCAGGTGTACATGTTAGTGATGAGTTGTCTCTGTCCTCAAAGGGTTCACAGGAATGCAAACTAAGGTCTAACAACAGCTACGGTTAATATTATTGTAGACTCAAATCCGCTTCTTTCTTGAAATCTAACCCAGGTTTACTTTCTTGGGTGACTATAAAGAACAACTGTCTGTCGACTCTTCCCTAATAATACTTTACTCTTGTTAGAATGTGTTAATTAAGGGTATCGTGTAATTTAATTATTCTGAGGAATTCTCAGAAATGGTCCTTTGATTATTGTCATCCCCATTTTACAAATGAAGAAATTGAGACAGCATGGTAGAGTAGAAAGATCTTAGGTTTTGAGTCACAACTACTAGTGATTAGCTCTTGTTCCCCTGGGCAATTAATCTGTCACATTCTCAGTTTCCTCCTCTGCTAATTGGGAGTCATGGCATTACTTCCCCCCATGGGAGTCTTGTGAGAATTACACGTGTCTATGTGATTAGCTATTTGTATGCTATATATATGTGTGCACGTGTGTCATATTCTGCTTAACACACAGGTAGAGAGTCCATGTCAGTTACCCCATTCTTAGGCCAAATTTGACTATGATCAAATTTCTGATTGTAGGGTATAGGGCTCATTTTTAAAGCCTTTTCTATTAGTGGGATGACTGCATTTAGAGCTAGAAGTTCTGAATATGACTTTCAGTGCTGCTTCTTGCTAGTTACAGGACCTTATAAATGTGATAGCATCTCACACTCCTTTCCATTCCTGAAAGCTCACTTACTTGAAACTAGTAATGATTCTATTGAAAGGACTTAGCCAAAACAGAGAAATGTGATTCTCGTACCTTTTCATGAAGTTTGTGTAAGTTGATTTATTTCTTATTTGGCCTTTAGATAGCATCTGAGGGTTGGGTAATAAAGACAATCACTCGGAGTTTCTACCACAAACTTTATTCTTACCTTTTCTTGAACTTTTTATTCATTAGGAAAATATTTCTTCTCATTATTTGATATCTGATTTATCTATTCTCCCTTTCTGTTTGAATGACTATTACCCTAATTATGGCCAACATCAACTTTTTGCATTCATCTGGTTGCCCTTTCTTCCTTAGTGTCTCTTTTGTTTTGTTTATTTCAGATATTGTTGTCAGTATGATTTTAGAATGGTAAGATTAAAAGCTTATTGCTAAAGAAGATGCTAGCATCATGAAGCTGCCCTGACAAAGAATGTTTGTATTGATAACTAGATCTTCATGCCTCCTCCAGCTTCCAAATCTTGGGCTATTCACCCAGAACCATCACATCCACTGCCTCCTGCTGACCTCTAATCAGATTCTTGACTCTACTCAAAGAGAGAACTCTAGGGTTCTTGGATTGCTGTTTGACAGTTAGTAAATTTGTGCTCTCAATTTTATGTTTGTGTATTTACTTATTATTTCTTTATATAGGCACTTTTGTTATTGGGCCTATGGATTGAGTTCCTTGAACTCAGCAGGAGCTGAGCTGTGTTTTCTGTCTTTTCTCTTTCTCCCGTGGTGTCTTCAGCATGCCACTTAGCACTTAGGAATCCTTCCATAATTGTGGGAGACCAATTCAGTGTATTGAACATGCTCTCTAGAGTCTTCCACACTGCAAATAACCAGTCAGTAGTCCTGTACAAAACACTGTTACAAATTTGAATGTTGCCCAGCATACTCACTGAGAACTTACCAGATATGACCATCATTTTCTTGTATGCTATTAAGACCATTCTGGTAACAGAATCTAAAAGTGTACTTGAATCTTACTACTATATCTATTGGGTTATCCAATTCTATTAGGTTCATCTTAATAGAAGCATAATAGAGTAGTCCATCAGGTATTATAGAGCCATTTTGGTCATCGTATCACCTTATGTGATAATATGTGCATATTTAATTATGCTTACAAATTCTTATTAGTAAAAAGATACATCCATGGATTAAATTTCTGGATTTTCCTGCTTGTTTTTCTTGCTGCTTTAATTAATCACCAGTAATTTTCTGTAACATGTCATTGTATAGTTTCTAAACATATCAAAGAAAGTTTATAGCTTTTACTGAAAATTCTTCTAGTGAAATTAACCCATCATCTTCCTGACAGACTTTATGTTGAAAGAAGCTGCAATGCTCTTGGGATGAACACATGTCAGTCTTAGGCACACAGAAGTCCTCTGCTTGAATATGGCACCTCAAAAGGTGGAAGGGATGGAGACAGTGGTGTCCTTTGTTTTCAGAATTCCTTGTAAACTGAGCTACAGAACAGGAACAAAAGACCTGAAAAGAAAAGGGAGGCTCAGGAAGCATTGATTTCCTACCAAATCCTTGATAAGCAGTTTCTAGCAACAATAAAGAAACCTTGTTTTCGGCCTATTGTAAAACCAATTATATTGTCAAAGCAACATTCTTCTTGTTTCCATTTCGCAGGGTAATGTTCTTTGTGTGTGAAGCATCCCCAGTGATATATGCAGAGAGAAGCACAAATTTATTTCTGCAAATCCCCAAAAGGGTCGTAAATCATTCAGATTTAAAGAGAGGTAGACTCTAATGCTAACACAAACCATGTCTAGGACCTATGAGCCCTGGGGATTATATTTAATACACCACTTAGAGGCCAAATTAAACCCAACTTGGGAGACTTGTGTAAATCTCTTCTTTTTTCCCCCTTATCTTTTAAAATACTTTTTTTTTATATGAACCCCAGGACTTTATTTTGTATATATTGTTTTTTAAAAATTACTTTTTGGTAAGCAGTAACTCTGCCTGAATATTTAAGCATAATTTAAAAGGACAAAGAGTGAATAGCGGTATTAAAACTCATAGCTCCAGCTCATCCTTGGGCACGCCTTATACCTTGTTACTAGTCCACCCCCCGGGCCCTCCACTAAACACCTTAGTAGATGAACAGTGTGGGAGCATGGGAGGAACTTGAGAGGTACCGCTTGAATGGCTCTCTAATGGTGAATTCGTACTCATGTGATTCGTTGGACTTTCTTAATTGATGACACATGGACATCATATCTTTTTAATAGCTAATGAGTACCATATCCATGCCCAAAATACCATTCTTAGAGATGTCTCGCACTTGACATGATGGGCTCAGAAGTCAAACTGCTCAACTTTGAATCTGGGCCCCACCCCTTAACTAGCAGTGTGTCCTTCAGCAGGTTACCCTTACCCCTCTGAATGTGAGTTTCCGCAGCAATAAAATGATCAGCAGTACCAGCTTCCTCACAGTTGTTAGACTGAACATAGTAAATGTGTGATGAATGTTAGCAATTATTGTTATTCCCTATGCTTTATTTCCTAAAGGTTCTTTGCAGTTGGATTTTAAGTGTTAAGAAGAATTATCGGAAGAATGTTGCCTATCATAATTGGAGACATGCCTTTAATACAGCTCAGTGCATGTTTGCTGCCCTAAAAGCAGGCAAAATTCAGGTATTTTTTAGAGTCTTTTATATTTTAAGACATTTAGATGCTTAATAGGAAAAGTCACAGCAATTTTTTCAAGTTTTTTTTTACTATGCACTAATGATTGAAAATAATACTGCCACTTACATAATAAATTATATTTTGTTAATTAAAGAGGATTAATATGGCAAAATACTTAGTTGCTAATTTTCCTTCATATGTAATACATGGCATATTTGAAAACCTTTAAAATAATTTCCTGTTACATGTAAATAGTCTTTGGGCAAATAAACATTTCCTTGAAAGGAAAACACTGCACTACAAAAAAAAAAAAAAAAAAAAATCATGGTTCTCATGAGCACATTCAGACCTGCTCCAGAGTAGAATTCTCAAAAACCATCCAAATCTTGGCTTCAAGGATAAGTTCTTTATCATGTTTTCTCTGGAGCACTCAGTAAATTTTACAAATACTATTTCGTAGAAAGGGTTTTGGTTTCATATACGTTTACCGCATACTGTTTAAAAGGAAGATCGATGCAGAAAATGTTCAAGTAATTCATTCCTTTCCAGGCCAAATTTTATCCATATCTCTGTCCTTAGATTCTAACTTCAGTGGGAATCGACTAGTTATTGCAGGTAAGTGATTCCAGGCCTCCATCATATGACTGTTTCTAATTCAGAGCTTCCCTACTCTGTTTGTTTTTTTTTTAATAAATTCTAAAATTGTTATTCTTTGTGTCTACTATCATAGGCTGCAGATTTTAACTGGCTAGACCTAAAAGAAGTGATTGTTGTTCATGAAAGTCATATGAAATACCTTAGTAGTATTTTCCTGCTATAACAAAACATGTATAGGTTGTGTATCGCTTATTCAAAATGCTTGGTACTGGAAGGGTTTTGGATTTTGGAATGATTGCATTATGCTTAACGGTTGAACATCCCTAATTTGAAAATCCAGTGAGTATTTCCTTTGAGATTTATGTTGGTGCTCAAAAAGTTTGGAATTTTGAAGCATTTTAGATTTCGGATTTTCAGATTAGGGATACTCAACTAATAGGGTGAACTTATTTGGGGGTATAGAAAGGTCATAAGAATAATCACCACTGAAAACTTTCTTGCTTTTTGTGAGGAATAACAAAATGATGATTTCTGTGTTTGTTGTAAAATCTATTTAGAGACCAGGCACAGTGGCTGACGCCTGCAATTCCAGCACCTGAGGAGGCTGAGGCAGAGGAATTTGAGACTAGCCTGGGCAACATAGTGAGACCTTGTCTCTACAAAACAATCAAAAATTTAGCTGGGCTTGGTGGTGCACGCCTATAGTCCCAGGTGCTTCGGAGGCTGAGGCAGGAGGATTGCCTTGGCCCTGAAGGTTAAGGCTGCAGTGAGCCATGAACAGGCCACGCATCCAGCCTGGACGACTGAGTAAGACCCCCCCCCAACTCAAAAAAAAAAAAAAATCTATGTAGAGTGTTGAGAGTTTTTTAGCTCATTTTTCTGTTGTTGTTTTTTGTTTGAATGAAGAGGATTAGTATTAAAGACAATACAAATGGCAGAGCCTTAAAAAGTTTATTTTTTATTTGGTTTGGGAATATATTGTACAACGTTTTAAAGCCAATTTTTCATTCCAAATCATCTTTTTTCTATTGTTTTGCCTAAAATTCACATTGTCTACATTCCTTAAGGTTACAACAACTGATCACAGAGTGAAGTGGAATGTGCCAGAAACTAAAAGAGGATAAAGCAATCATTTAAAGTTCATTATGATTATTCCACATACATACAGATAATTCAGAATTAGTGACATTTACTATAGGTAGACAGATTATTAATTTTTTGAGGCATTTAAACTTTTTATATTGATAAGTGACATTTGTAGTCATTCCATGCTGGATGACAAAATCCAACCAATTCCCTGAAGAATGAGATTTTGCGCTAATCCTGTGTGACTATAAAGTGCTTATGTGAAGCGCTGAGGGGGAAAGATTACTGAAAATAGGTAATGTAATGCCCGTTGCCAAATCATATCTTTCTCTTTTTTCCGCTGACGCCTTGGTCATGTAGAACAAGCTGACTGACCTGGAGATACTGGCGTTGCTGATTGCTGCACTGAGCCACGACTTGGATCATCGTGGTGTGAATAACTCTTATATACAGCGGTAAGAGTGCTTCCCGGCAAAACTAGAAGCATGCCCTTTACATTGTAGGGTTATAGTTTTTAAAGTTAAACCCACAGCAAAATTTAATGGTACAAAGTTTCAATTGGTCAAAGTACCATAACATACTCAGGTAATGTATAAGGAAATAGAAAAAATAATTCAAGTCCAATATTGTATTGATATTGTTTTTCAGCCCTAAAGTTTAAAAATATTTATGTTGAGAATCTTATGTCATTAGATAATTACCAGTTTTGCCTTAGTTTATGTACACTCAGCTTAACAAATTCTTTAGAAAACTAGTTCATAAAATGCAGAATGTCACCCTGCTATAAAAGACAATATTTGAAAAGTGCTTAGCTTGGCCCTACACATACGTATTAAGTGCTCAGTTAGAAGGGAGCTCTTGCCGGGCTCAGTGGCTCAGCCTGTAATCCCGCACCTTTGGGAGGCTGAGGTGAGTGGATTGCCTGGGCCCGCGGGTTCGAGACCCACCTGGACAGCGAGACCTCATCTCCACAATAAATCAAAAAATCAGCCGGGTGTGGTAGCGCATGCCTGTAATTCCGGCTACTTGGAAGGCTGAGGCGGAAGCATCGCCGGAGCCCAACAGGTCGAGGCTGCGGTGGCCGGGAGCGGCCACTGCACTCTAGTCTGGGTGACAGAGTGAGACTCCAACTCAAAAAAAAAAAAAAAAAAGAAGGGAGCTTTTGGTCTGGAGGCTGTATAATACAGGTGTTGAATTCAAACCCAGTTGCTGTGTGGCCCTGGGTAAAGGAGTTAGTTTCTCTATACCTTAATTTCCTGATCAGTAAAATGAAAATAGCATAGCCACCTCATAGGGTTTATGTAAGTTTTAAGAGATATATACATCAGTACCAAGTAGAATGTGCCTATTTTATCTCAGCAGCAGATGCTAGCAATGTGTGTCATCATCAGAAGTCTAACCCTTAGGACAAGTGCTTCAGGCTCCTATGAGAGCCGTACCTAAGTGGCATTTGCAATGACAAATGAGATGATAAAGGTTACATCTGTTGTCATCAAATTTTTGAGACACTGTGACATTTTTAATTTTTCACAGTAATTTAGTTGCAAAATCTACATTTTAATGGCAAAACCTGTACCAGTGAGCATTTTTTTAAGTATGCAAGTGATTCAACTAATGGATAGATCTCTTAAAAAAAATTCCAGATGTTTGATATCTAGAGGGAATTTCAGAAAGCTCTCTAATCACATTCTCTTTATCTAAATAAATGGAAAACTTCATGTAAAAAGAATTGTAATGATGTAACAACCATGTCCTCTGCTGACCTTTGATGGGAAAAGATAACAAGCTCTTGCCTGAGTGTCAGAATCTGGCTGTTTCCTCTTCAAAATCTCGTGTTTTGGAGAACTGACTGGGTGACACGTCCTTTGTTCCCTGTTCTTTGTCATGTGACTGCAATCCTAAGCCTTACATAGACATGGAGAGTAATTATGAAAGGGAACATTGACATAAAAAGACTTGAAGTGCAAAGTCAATCCACATTGTATGACCTTCTGTAATCAGCACGACCTAAAGATCAGAGGTAGCATGTGCTACACTGAACATTAGATTCAGTGTATAGATTGTTAGTGCATGGATTTCTCTAAGAATGTATATTGCCCTGCTTTAGAGTGAAGAAAACACTGAGCTATTTTCTTCCTTTGTTTATTTAAAAATAATTGCCCCGAAAAACATCTGGAGAGACATCATCTTTTCTTCAAAAAAAAAGTCCTGGGAAAAAGTTATAGAATCTTGCTTTTGCACATACCACAAAGCAGACTCAACTGAGTAATAACTTTTTTTAAAAAGTTAAAGCAGTTTCAGAGATTTTTATTTCTTCCTACATCCCTGTGGTTTGAGTACAGAAAACCAAGAATTTTCCAGGGATGTTTCTGTTTTTTCTTTTCTTACTGGTAAATGAGTGGTACTTAAGTAGAAATTTCTTAGCCAGGAGTCTCTTGGGAGAAGAATGCCATAAACATTCCCATATCAAGTACTGCTTTCTAAAACTGTATACTGTGTCCAGATCTCATCAGATATTCCAATTAATATGTAAAGGTCAAAATGATAGAAGAAAGCACAGAAATAAAATCAAAAAGAGAAAAAGTGCTCGTGTATTAGGAACTGAAATTCTCCTCATTCACTTTTGAACATCTCTTTTAAAAATTGCTTTAGAGCCAGATATTTCTTGAATAGGAAGCTGTCCCTTGATGCATTATTTGATTTAAAAAAATTAGCCTGGTGTGGTAGTGTGCACCTGTGGTTCCAGCTACTTGGAAGGCTGAGGCAGAAGGATCGCCGGAACCTGGCAGGTCGAGGCTGCGGTGGCCGGGAGCGGCCACTGCACTCCAGTCTGGGCGACAGAGTGAGACTCTAACTCAAAAAAAAAAAAGAAAAGAAAAGCAAAAGGGTAAGCAAGTGGAAGCTTTCAGAGCCTTTCAAGGGAAGGCTATAAAACTAAGCAGTGTATTTTGGAGCCATAGGCGCATGTACGACAGACACCATTTATAAAGAGAGTCTGAAGGTACGCTACAAGGTAAATGAGTAAAATTGGAACTGCAGAGCTCATCTAGGAAGCTGGTACAGCAAACTAGGTATAAACTGAAACTATATGTTAGCTAGAGAGAGGAGGAGACTGAAGGAGAAAAACATTTAATACTGAACAGCTAACTTTATGCATGAAGGAAGGGGATAAATTGTGACTTCTGGTCCAAGAAATTGGAACAATGATGAAAATGAAAGAGCTGGGAAGTTATGTCTATGTGTATGTTGGGAGGGAGGGACTGGCAGAATGAAGGGTAAAGGAGTTTTGACAATGAGGAAAAATAATCATAAATAGGATGGTATTTAGAAGAGATAAAATGATCAAATTAATGCTTTTTTTTTCAAAATGAGAGATGCAGTAAAATCAGAAAAATAAATCTCCTGATCGCCACAATGAGACTGTGTATTTGTCCTGGAAGAGTACTCATTGCCAAGGTCTTCTCTGCTTTATGCTAGAGGAATAATCCCAGTGAGTCTTGAGGGACTGGAGATCTAGGTATGAGTAAAGTGCAAGTTCAGTTAGTCTTAATGTCAGTAACAAATCATAATATTAGAAGCTAAACTTTATGTAGGCCTTATTATCATGTGACTTTTGAAAGTCTTTTTAGCACTTTATATTAGTTCACTTAGCAGCGATTCTGATGGTTATGGTAGTTAAACGTGGCCTCAGTCAGATGCCTGAGTTTTAATCCTGGCTCATTCTCTTACTGTGACATTGGATTAGTCATTTAACCTCTCTGTGTTGTTTCCTTCCCTATATAATGGAATAATGAAAGTACCTGTCTCAAAGGATTTTCATAAAGATTAAAGGAATATAAGGCCAGGCATGGTGTCTCAAGCTTGTAATCCCAGCACTTTGGGAGGCCAAGGCAGGAGGATCACTTGAGTCAAGGAGTTCGAGACCAGACTGGGCAACATAAGGGACCCTATCTCTACAAAAAAAAAATAGAAATAAAAATTAGCTGGGCACAGTGGTATGCACCTGTTGTCCCAGCTATTAGGGAGACTGACGCAGGAGAATTGCATGAGCCCAGGAATTGGAGACTGCAGTGAGCTATGATTATGCCACTGCACTCCAGCTTGGGTGACAGAGCAAGATCCTGTCTCAAAAAAAGTGGGGAAGAATATAAATGTAACGTGCTTGAACAGTTCCTGGCCCATATTTAGTGCTCTATAAGTTTTAGCTGTTTTCACAGGGGTTGCTATTAAGAACAGATAGGAGTTCAAGATCTTGCTTTGTCCTATGGTGAATAAAGGGAATGGCAAAGATGCTATACTTGGTAGCACCTAGTAGCTGTGGAACAAAGCAGTAAGCCCTTGTTTGTCACTGATGTGAAAAGAGACCATCAGTAGTGTCAAGGAGGTCAAAGAACTGTGAGGTCAAAAGGGGAAATGAATCATCATCTTGACTATCTATGATATCAGATATGATTACAGACAATGAGAAGGCAAAAAAATAACCTTGATTTATATAAGAAGACAATAATGATTATTTGGAGAGAGATGATGAAGTAAAGAACTAAATGGGGTTGATATGGTTTATAAAGTAGTAGTTAGAAATTTGAACCCAAAGAAATATAGGAGGGGAAGAAGCAGAATCAAGGACTTTGTTAGGATGAGTAAAATAAGACTAGGGTAACAGAACGGATTTTTTCATGGGCCTTTCATTTTCAATAGCTTTCTAAAGCTTTCTATTTTTAGAATATTGGTCTGATTTCTGCATGGGCATCCCAATGCCAATCTCAGAGATGGACCAAAAACTGTGCAGGACAGAGGAAGATGCAGAGAGAGCATGCCAGTCCATGAATGCTAACAGCAGGGTAAGGATAAAATTTTGAAGCAGTAGTGGTTTATATGAGTCCTTCTGATGTGACCTCAAAGAAGCCACATAGCCTTGTGCTTGAAAGAGTGAAATGCAACAGACATAGAATACATTGGTTTCCAAGAATATTTTTGTAAACAGGAAATCTGGGGCATTTGCCACTCTTATTTATTCATAAATCTGTATTTTTAGAATGTAAGTGAGGGAAATCACAATTTTCATTAGTCTCACAAGCCAAGAATTTTCTCTCATGTGAAACAGTCCTTTCTGCATCATCTAAAAATGTAATGTGGGAAGAATGAAACTAGATTGCTACTTAACACCATATATATACAAAAGCTAACTCAAAATGAATGAGGGACTTAAATGTGAAACCTCAAACTATAAGAATCTTAGAAGAAAACTTAGGAAACAACCTCCTGGACATCGGAGTGTAGGCAGTGAATTCATGGTCAAGTCCTCAAAAGCAAATGCAACAGTCTAAGATAAACAGGTGGGACCTTATCAAACTGAAAAGATTTCACACAGCAAAAGAAAACAACAAGAGAATCAAAAGACAACCTGCAGAATGGGAAAAAATATGTGCAAGCTATTCATCTAATAAAGACAAAGGACATGTATAGATACTTCTTAAAGGAAGACATCCAAACAGTCGACAAACATATGAAAAAATGCTCAGCTTCATTAATCATCAGAGAAAGGCAAATTAAGCTACGAGACATCACCTCTTACTACTCAGGGGGGCTATCATAAACAAGTAAAAAAACAACAGGTGTTGGTAAGACTGTGGAGAAAAGGGGATGCTTCTACACTCTTAGTGGGAATGTAAGCTAGTTCAACCTTTGTGGAAAGTAGTGTGGTGTTTTCTCAAAGAACTAAAAATTGAGTTTCCATATGATCCAACAGTCCCACATCTGAATAGAGGAACATAAATCGCTCTACCAAAAAGACACCTGTATGTTCACTGCAGTATTATTCACGATAGCAAATAATTGAACCAACCCAACTGCCAATCCAAAGTGAACTGGATAAAGAAAATGTGGCATGTATAGATGGAATACCATGCAGCCATAAAGAAAAACAAAATCATGTCTTTTGTGTCAACATGGATGTAGCATACTAAGTGAACTATCACAGAAACAAAAAACTAAATACCACATGTTCTCACTCACCCTAAACATTGGGCACACAAGCACAAAAGTGAGAACAACAAACACTGGGCACTGCTAAAGAAGAGAGGGGGAGAGGAGAGATAAGGGACACACAACCACACACTGGGTACCATGTCCACTACGTGAGGAAGAGCAGGAGCTCGCTAGAGGCCCAGACCTCACCTGCACACAATTTACTTATGTAGCAGATTCTCATATGTACCCTACAACTCTAAAATAAAAATGTTTTGTGCATTTGAAGTTTTAACTTGTTTGTGTTATATACCTAATTGCATTTCCTAGTCCAGCCCCTAACTAGCCAGTGAGTGGACACTGTGTACCTCCAAAGTACTGTGGTGCCATGAGATTGTGGTGCCATGAGATAATGTGATGTGGTGATCAGAAATACATTTGAATCCCAGCTCTACCATATATATCAACCTTGAGCATGTTAGACAATCTCTCTGAACATTTGGGCATCTAAAAAACAATTACAAACATGCTCATTTTAGAGCAGTCTCAGCCTAGGTTTCTCTGGAGGCCCACTCTGAGACCAGGTTCATGTGAGGGTAGCTCATTTGTGAATATGACCCTGGGGAGCAAGAATGTAGGACTGGGAAAGACACAGGGAAAAAGGGAAAGTCAGTGGAAGGATAGCCATCCGGAAGTCACTCATGTGAGCGACCAGTGCTTGATCTTGGCAGCTGCTTGTGGGGAGTCTTGCAAAGTGATACCTAGAACTGCTCACCAACACAAAAGGCAGCTGTCCTTAAGTCCCCATATCCCATTGGTCAGAGGTGGCCCACAGGCCTTAACTCCTTCACACTTACAGGTTGAACAAGTGTGAGTGTGGAGAGTTCCTGTGGCATCACTGTGGGGTCAGAGAGCTTTAGGGCAGAGTGAAAGGTATTCAGGGTGGGCCAGGGCAAAGCACCTTCTAATCTTTACCTGTATGAAGTCCGTTAGAGCATGCATGAGGCTGGACTTGGATCAGTGATTGAAGTAAGAAGCAGGAATGAAGACTTTGATCTGGTGACTGGGAGTGCCCTGTACAGAGCTATTATAAAAATTAGATATAACAAACTCCATATCACAGTGCCTTACATGTTGCAGGTGCTCAACAGATAGTAATTGTTATCATTAGGGAAAACAAACATGACCAAATTCAAGAGGTTTACAGTCTAGCGGGGTATCAGACCTATAACAGCTAATACCAGGTAGAATCAAGTTGGTCTTAAACTAATCCTGTACACTATGTCCTTGAATTTCTTATACTAAAAAAATCAGATACAGGAGAAGCTTGTCCTTTTATTCTAAGTGTAGGGAATGAGGAAGACAGCAATTGTAACATTAAAGTTGACTTCAGCATCTCTAGTCTGAGTGATAAGAAAAGTGTTGCCAAAATAGAGAACGTAGAATACAGGTCAGGATTTGAACTATTGATTCTGTTTATCACAGGCCTCCACTCTTCTCATCACAGGCCATCTCTCTGGGTCATGCCATCCACTCTCACGGCTAGGATTGCATTTGCATGTTGATGCATTCCAAATCTGTCTCTTCAACCCAGACCCGAGTTCAGACATTCATATCCACATGGTTGTATCTCAGGCCCCTTAAAATCAACAGACCCAGCATTCAGCTAGCCATCGTCTCCACCTTCATCCTTGCTTCTCAACACCTTCTCTTTTCCTATGTTAGTACGTGAGCTCAGCATCCCAAGGCAGAAGCTTAGCGTTCATACAGTTTCTTTTCAACTCCCTCTTTCTCATCCCCCTCACCAAACTCCCAACAGAATTCACTGCCAACTCCTACCTTATCTCCTCCTAAACAGTCCTCAGGTAGCTGATTCTCTTTCTTTGGACTGCCACCACTCTAACCAAGGCCCTCTCTTAGGTTACCAGAAGCTTCATGGTTGTCTCCATTCATACCTAGTCTTGTTTCAAGTAAATTCACCCATTTGCACAAACCTGCACGTGTTACTCCATTCATTTGTCCCTTTGTCCAGTGGTGAGCAACCACCTGATCTGTACGCCTCAGAAATACAGAAGGAACAGAGAAGGCAAGCAGTGATTTGGGAAAGGTTATGGCGACACTCATGGCACGTCAGCAACATAGGGGATAAACACCAACCATAGATGAGGTTACCCATTCTCTTACCTTTATTTTTACTTTCCTGTTTTTGTTTTCCCTCAGGCTTCTCTCATTTTACCCATTTTTCCCTCACATGACATTTTTTTCAGTCTTGGGTAGCTTCTCTATTCTCAACAAATACAAAGAAAAATAATAATTCAGACAGTAGTATTGAAGAAATAATCCACTGTATTATCTAACCCTTGTATGTGGTGCTTTACAATTCATAAGCCCCTTTCCTATAAATCTAGGAACAGAGGCTTTCAAAAACTGTTTCTTTTAAAGAATTGTGTAATCTATGCTTAATGTTTACATGTGATGACTCATGAGAAAAATGAGGTAAACGACAGTGCTTGTCATGCTTTAGACCTAGATTTGTGACTGTTCCATAGATATAATGAACTGAGTGGTGTGTGTGTGTGTGTGTGTGTGTGTGTGTGTGTGTGTGTGTGTGTGTGTGTGTATTTCCCCTCCCTTCACTCAGCCCAAGGATCTCTACACCTGATATCCCTAAAATCTTAGTGCCAAAAGGACCTGGGTCCCACATGGGGGACTTTCTGACTGCTTTCTCCTTCCTTTCTTCCTTCCATCAAAAGGAGCATATGCACTGACTGTTACCTTTTCCTTCCCTTTCCTCACGCAATACCTGAGTTAATTCCATTTCAGCCAGTCCTTTTCTTATTTGTAGGTGCATATTAATAAGTTGACGATCAACCTGAGCATTATTTTAAAGGCAAAGCTGGCAAGTGAATTTGCTTCAGATTTTAAATCAATTGCAATTTGAAATTGAAAGATATGATCGGTACAATTATTTTAGAGTCTTGTTTTTTTCATGTTTAGAGAAATTAGTCCTCTGTTCTTATTCTTCTACTATTTTAGTCAATATTAAATCCAATTAAACTCTCTGTACTTTGAACTGGCAGCAGTTACATTGGTATTTGAAAACAATTTGACCCTTTGTATTTATTTCTCAGAGATTACCTCTGTCTTTTCATGGTAAAAGAAGAGAAAATTGTTAGATTAATTTTATGAAGTAGACTTTTTTTTAGTTAACCAGTAATAAGATTGGACTGATAAACAAAATGGGGAAATTGTTTATTTTTTTCCTTTCTTCAACAAAATATTTTTCAGAAGTGAACACCCACTGGCCCAACTCTACTGCCATTCAATCATGGAACACCATCATTTTGACCAGTGCCTGATGATTCTTAATAGTCCAGTAAGTACCTAATTTATTGTTGTGGAATTTTAAATGAGAGCTTTATAAATCCAGCGTTATTTTTAGGTTTTGGATTTATTCCCAGCATCATAAATTCTTGAACGTGCTTTATTCCTTTTTGGGTAGGGAAGGCAAAGCCAAAATGTTTGAGATCTTCACAGTCCCACTTCTCTAGACAATTGACACTGTCAAAATGTTGCCTGATAAGGGAAATTTGGTTATTCGGCTCCATGTGGCTACTCCAAATGAGAAGCAATCAAAAGTGACATTTTGTGGCTCAGTTAATTCTGCTTCTTTTTAAAAATCAAATAAAGTGATAGCTTATATAGCTCAAGAATTTGCTTTCACAAGCCAATACCTTTTCCTCTTTTTATTGGCCCTTCTAATCACTAAGAAATCATTTCATTCAGGAACAAAGCAACTTGGTTAAATGAGTGTTTATCAATGTATGCTATGCTGTACTAAACATACTTATGTTAAGAAAAATAAGATTAAAATAATATATACTAGAACATTAACAATGGTTCTGTTGGCCTAGTAAAATTACTAATACTTTTATTTTCTCTTTTTAGTTTGCTCATTATTCACATTATCTTTTGTATGCATGTATTACCCTTGTAATAAGAAAAATGTTGTAACTATTACATTGAACAAGCACAATGTATGGTATATAATCTTAAAGCAGTTTTATCATTATATCTCTTAAGTTTACCCACTGGGGTTAGTTCTTCCTTGAGCAGTGGAAGAACATTCAGAAATCCCCATGAATCTTCTGGTTACTCTTTCTTTTTTTGAATTTTTAATCCACAGTTTTCATTGAGATAAAGTGCATACATTATATACAGTGAAATATACAGGTTTTAAGTGTTCAGTTTGATGAATTGAAAAGACATACTTATTGGTGTTAGGTAGTAGGTAGTATCTCAATGTCATTTTAATTTGCATTTCTCTGATGATTAGTGAGGCTGAGCATTTCTTCATGTGTCTATTGGCTGCTTGTATGTCTTCTTTTGAGAAGTGTCTATTAATGTCCTTTGCCCACTTTTTAATAGTGTTTTTTTTTCCCTTTCAACTCATTTGAATTCCTTGTAGATCCTAGATGTTAGACCCTTGTCAGATACATAATTATCAAATATTTTTTCCCCATTCTGTGGACTGTCTGCCTTCTCTCTTGATGGTTTCTTTGTTGTACAGAAGCTTTTCAGTTTGATGTGATCATTCTTTTATAAGTAAAAGTCCTCTAGTTACTTTAGGTCCGAATATATTGTACGTAGTTCTCAATTCTGAAACCAATACATCCAGTCCTGGGTAACAGTCCAAATTTTGAACATGAGTTAAAGCTTCAGGTTCTCCCCTTACTGCTCTGGTTGGCTTTTTATTCCCTACCTTGTATGTCTTCTAACTCCTTCCTCACTCCCAATCCTCTATGGATTCTTATCCCTGCAGACTTGGAGAATAGGAATGGAAAACAGGGAAGAAGAGGGTTCAGAATGTTCTTAATGGGTTATGAGTGTCTCACTCTCTATGCCTGGTAGGTGTTAAATCTGAGTTATTTTCTTATGAATAACTTTGTGACCCCTGCAGAACATCCTCATGGTGGGGATTTCCCACAGTAGCCGCAGAGTGGCTACCCAGCTCCAGTCTTGCCTTTTTACACTTTCCAGACAGGAATCAGACACAAACTACTCTAGTTTCACCTCCACCCACTAAACTACAGGAGACAGACACAGTGGGTTCAAGCCCTCTCTCTTACTTGAGGTGGTGGGGAACACACTCTCACTCCTTCCTAAACACCTCAGTGTGGGTGAAGGGTTAAGAGTCAAAAATCTGTTTTGGCAACCTCTTTATAAAGTCTGTATATGTCTAGTACAGGCTGTTTTGCTACAGCATGTGACTGTTTAATATAAATCAGTTCATGTGTGATCAATAAGTAGAATGTTGTCAGCATGCTGTAGAATTTGTACCATTTCATGTACAAGTTCTCTGGGGTAAGAAGTGGTGGAATGGTGAAAGTGAATTTTGACCTTCAGCCAAAGAGGAGGAAACCCTCCACTTGACTCCTACATGTATAGCCCTTTCCATTCTTGAGAATACTGAAAATGGGCACTTGTACCTGAAGCTTTCCCCCTAGCTTTGGACTGCTCGAGGCTCTTGGCAGCCTGCTGTTCCTTCAGTGCCCAGCTTAGCAGCAGCCCTCCTGTCTCAATGACCCAATACCATCTGCATTGTCTCTGGGCTTTGCATACCAGCACGTCCACTTGACTGCTTTTGGGCATCTCTCATATCCTTACAGCAGCCTTCAGACCTATTGGATTGGCCTATTCAAGTTGCCTCCAGGGGTACCACAATTCTTGGTTTGGTTTGTGCACTGGTTACAAAGTTACATATGTTTTGAATGGCCTGCCTCAATACCATTTTCCCCATAAGCCATGTTATTTTTTAGTGCACAGTCTTACAGAACTGAGATTTTTCAGGAATGTACATGTCATATTATAGTGGAAACATAGTCTGGACTTTTCTTGGTATTTGCTACCTGTGTACTTTAGTCAAAACTTTCATTTTACTATCCTATTACAAGTTCAGTTCCAAAGAAAGAAAATACACGAACCTTTTTTGGAAAAAAACCTATGTAACAGTGTTCCTATCATATGTAACCTCTGTTGCTTCTTGACTTGTTATATAATGTGTTACTACACAATATAATATGTAAGGAATCTGATTGTATATATGTCTGGCTCACTACCTGCCTATACTTTCTTTGTAAGCAGTTAGACAAGAAATTACAGCTTCTACTTTGGAGAGTAAAAATAAGAATACAGCACCAAAAGGCATTTCTTTTTCCATTTGAAATTGTCTCAAGATTTGATAGGACACACAGGATTATCACAGCCCTGACCCACCCCCACCAAGTTTAAAAAACAAGTCAATCCTGATGTGAATAGCAGTTATACCTGGCTAAATTATGTTCTGTTCCCAAAAGGGTTGCCAGAGAACATTTAAAAAGTTACATGAACTCTGAAAAAAAAAAGGAAGTTGTTTTGTTTTGTAATAAGTAAAAGTATCAGAATATATTTTCTGGATAATTTTTTGGTTGAAATTACAGATTTGTTTGTCATTAATTAGATTCATGCCACAATTTCAGCATATAGTTATCATCTAACCAACGTGTTTGGCCCCAGCCTAACTCCCAGAAGTTTCCTGGTCTTTGTAACAAATCCTTGCCTCCAAATCCCATTCCTAAACCTTTTTCTTGGCCCTGAGATTTAGGAAGCACATCTGACTCAATTTATAGATCTTGTTTTGAGTATATTCTAGTGTCCAAGCTGTGTTTTACTTCGTTCAGGGTTAGAGAGCCGCTGTGCTTTAAATTACAGGCAAGAAATAAAATGTACTTATGGAGCAAAAGCTTTCTGTGATTTGCACATGGATTAGCCATCTTTTAAATATTTCTTATGGATGTTTCAACCCTGCTTTCTTATACCACAATCAGTAAGCACACAGATGGCTCATGCCTTCTACCTGTGTATGTTAAGAGGTCACTATAATTGACAAAGTTAAAATTACATAAATTTGCACCAGAAATGTTACTGGGTCTATTTAGAAAGCCATAGAGAAATGACTTTTTAATAATCATTCGTTTACATCCTTCATATCCATTCATTCACATCCACTAAGATGGCTTTGATTTTTCAAAGTGTTGCTTGCTGTTAGATGATAGCAGTTAATAAGACAGGGTATTGTGAGAGGGAGTATCGAGGGGAAACATTATTTCATGGTATTTACTGTAAGTGAGCAGGAGCCCTCCATATTCATGAGTGAAGAATACTGAGCATGTGTGTGAGATATGTGATTATATTTCCAGATGTTGTTCTTTTCAGCAGTTTTTCCATGTGGAGTGCTAATGATGGGTTTCTCTTTTTATAAAGGGCAATCAGATTCTCAGTGGCCTCTCCATTGAAGAATATAAGACCACACTGAAAATGATCAAGCAAGCTATTTTAGCTACCGACCTAGCACTGTACATTAAGTAAGTTTTAAGAAATATCCTGAGAAATAGGTTTTGGAGGTGTTTATATTGTTTCAAATTTTTAACATCCATGTTGAGAAAAGTTTAAAGGACAAGTGTCCTGGCAAAGCTGTCAGATTTTGGAGCAGCTTCTTAAGAGTTATCAGAAAATCTACCCTTTGACTTATATACAGCTAAAAATTACAAAATACATAGTTATTTCTGATGTTTGTCTACTGCTGTGTCTCTGAAGTTATGTAGAAATCAAATAGACATCTCAAGGTCATTCCAAGCCATTCTGTCCAAAAATTATATAGGTCATTTGCTTTTCCTACATCCCCTCACCCCTACATTCTGACCACTTTACAGTTCCTTCATTCTGTCATATATGCTTAGGTGGGCAGGAAAAGGAGCAGAAGCCAAACAAGTAGCTCTGGTTTCTTGTTTTATTTTGGCAGAAGAAAACAATGAATACAAACTTCAAAGTTACTGATTCTAAAATAAGAGCATGCATTAGAGTGGTGGCTGTATTTAAGCATTTGCTTGATTGAACTGCCTTCCTAAAAACTACAAAATATGTTCCTGCATTTGGACACCTATTAGTTTCCAGTCATGTCCTGATATCATGATGCATGTGTGGGGATGAGGGGAACCAAGGAATGCCATGCCCGGGTTTCCTTGTAATACGGCTCTCTCTCCCTCTGTACAGAATCCTCATTCTTGGTTTGGTTTTAGCCACTCTTAGGAGAAGTAAAAACAAATTGGACAAACACACAAAACATGTGCCACATATCCACTCTTATATATACACAAGTAATTGCATGTGTCTGCTCCATTAGATATCAGAACACTTTGAGGTTGAATCAGACAAAAGAAGATACCAATTAAACTGAATAGACTTCAGTTTATTAAAAATAATTTCAGAATAAGGATTATCAAATTACAAGAATTTGAAAAATTCCTGTAACCTCACAGCCTTCCTTACCTTTCCAGCACACATAGATCTCTCCTCTGAACCCTTATAAAACCTACTTTTCATTTTTGATAGTCATATACAGTCAATTTTATTACAACAGTTTTTCTTTTGTTGAGTCTTGTGTCTTCAGCTAGATGTTTAACACTGTGAAGGGAACAATTCTTATCTTATGACTTCTCAAAATGCTTAACAATTTTGTGCATATAAGAGGTATTTCTGTACCTGAATATTATTATATTAATTGAGTAAATAATAAGTATTATTTTAAGCTTTACTTGGCCTTTCTCTGCTTCAGAAGCACTTCATAACTTTATATTTTTTATTCTATTCCATGATTTATATGAATAAATTATATTAAACTGAAACTTTGTTCTTGTTATGCATGCACTTAAAATATCTTAAATCATTCTCAGCATCAAATTTTAACTCATTCTTTTTCATTTTGGTGGCCGGGAGCGGCCACTGCACTCCAGTCTGGGTGACAGAGTGAGACTCCAACTCAAAAAAATAAAAAGTAAAAAAAATTTTCAAGAGTTGAGATAACCATTATTTGTGATCTGACATTAAAACTTAAATGAGGTTTAATGTTTTGCCCAAAGCAAATGTTTGAAGGGGCAAAGTGAGGTATTTAAGATTTTTAAGTGGTAATTTTTTTATTGGGTTCTAAGATGGGAAAAAAATATTGAGTTTCTTTTAATCAAAAATTTTCTCTATGAGTGTGTGTAGACCAAAGGAATACAAGCCTGGGGACTCATCATAACTGTCAACTATATTTTTTAAATTTATTTTCAAGGAGACGAGGAGAATTTTTTGAACTTATAAGAAAAAACCAATTCAATTTGGAAGATCCTCATCAAAAGGAGTTGTTTTTGTAAGTAGGCTGTCTATCCTTAAAGCTAACATTTTGTTACCCAATTAATTTTTTCACTACCAGTTTTTATTGCAATTATCCATTACAACATGATGATTTTAAAGACTGTCAGACTTCTCCAGAGTGTTTTACAAAGGACTAAATATGAATACTGGCTTGAAAAGAAATGCATTTGCAAATTCAAGTAAATGAATTGTTCCTTTTTTCTAGAAAAACCTTTAAAATATGGTAGAGTATCAGTACAAAGTTATAGGGTTCCTTTATTCAATTTCCTAATTCTTCCGAATGGGTTTCTGAAAATGGAATCCTAAAGTGTTTACTTCTCTGGAATAAAATCCTGAAAAAGTAGAGTGGCGAGGTTGGGGTCCAGACATGAGAGCAATACTCTAAAGTCTGTGTAAGTAAAATAGTTAGGTATTGGTGAGAGACCAGTGGCACACAGCAAGAGGTCTAGAATTGCATAGAACATTTAGTATATAATAAAGATAACATTTCAAATAACTGTGGGAACGGTAAAGATAAGTCAATAACCAAATGGAAGAAGACAAAATTGGATCTACTCCACATACCGAAATTCCAGTTGAAGCGTAGTGTCAACCTAGAGATTTAAACCATACAAACATGGGTGGATTCTTTTATAACTTAGGAGTGAGAAAAGTTTCCTTCCATAGTTTAACACGCGGAAACAATAAAGGAAAAGACTGATAAATGTGCTTAATCATTCAACAGCTTTTCACATAAAAGTCACTGCATGTGTTGAGTGAATTAGGGTGACCCACTGTAATTTCTGGTATAAGACTTTTATCAGTGTGATACCTGATGTTATGCTTTTACAGTTAGTTATTAGTAACCGATGGGTTTTCATCACACTGTCACTGAGAATGGAATACCAATGTGAAAAACACAATAATAGGAGGCAAATTTTGACCTGAAGGTTAATATTTTTTTCATTGTGCTGATTTTCAACCAAATGAGGTAGATAGAGTACAAACTCCAGTATTTCAAAGGGCAGCCAAAACAATGAAGCTCTTTTATCACTGTATCAGCTAAGCTTCTGTATAAATTCTGCTTCTATTTCTTTCATCTTTATAAACTGCCACTCCCATCTTTAAGAAAGCTTTAATTTATCTTTTTTGTTAGTAACTATTTACTGAGGGTATATAGTCTCATAATAGTATATAGGAAATTGGGGTTTCCTTTTTCTCTTAACAGAGCAATGCTTATGACAGCTTGTGATCTTTCTGCAATTACAAAACCCTGGCCTATTCAACAACGGGTATGTTGCTTAGTGATGATAAATGTAATAATTAAAAAGTCAACTTAAGAAAAGTCTTTACTCTTAATGCAACTCCTGCAGTAAGTACTTATGAATCATTTTTCTAATTTGTTTGTTTGTTTGTTTGTTTGGTTTTTTTGAGTTGGAGTCTCACTCGGTCGCCCAAGACTGGAGTGCAGTGGCCGCTCCCGGCCACCACAGCCTCGCCTGCTGGGCTCCAGTGATCCTTCTGCCTCAGCCTTCCGAGTAGCCGGAATTACAGGCACGCACTACCACGCCCGGCTGATTTTTTGATTTATTGTAGAGATGAGGTCTCGCTGCCCAGGCAGGTCTCGAACCCCGGGGGCTCAGGCAATCCACTCACCTCAGCCTCCCAAAGGCGCGGGATTACAGGCTGAGCCACCGAGCCCGGCTATTTTTCTAATTTTTAAATAGTATTAACAATGGATAATTGGACATTAAAAGGTCTTCCCTGTTAGATTAATTTGTCTTAATTTGTAAGATATATTGAGAAAGAGATAGCCAGGAGCGGTGGCTCACACCTGTAATTCCAGCACTTTGGGTGGTGGAGGCGAGAGGATTGCTTGAGTCCAGGGGTTCAAGACCAGCCTGGGCAACTTGGTGAGACCTCATCTCTACAATAAATCAAAAAATTAGCCAAGTGTGGTGGCCCATGCCTGTAGTTCCAGCTACTTTGGAGGCTGTGAGGCAGAGGGATCACTTGAGGCCCAGCAGCTCAAGGCTGCAGTAGCCGTGACCATGCCACTGTACCCCTGTCTGGGAAACAGAGTGAGACTCCTACTCAAAAAAAGAAAGGGAGGGTGTCTATGTTAACACAGCAAAACTACGTTGTTGATAAGTTTCAATTTCAGCACTATGGGTTGAACATTTCTCATTCGAAAATCCAAAATTCAAAGCTTTTTGAATTCTGTCATGAAACTTAAAGGAAATGCTCATTGAGCATTTTGGATTTTTTATTTTTTTGATTTGGGATACTGAGCCAGTAGGTGTAATGCAAACATTCTAAAATCTGAAAAAAGTCAAAATCAGATGAGGGATACTCAACCTGTACTTGTGGCTCACTTGGGGATTTTGGTTTTAGCACATTACTTTCATAACCTTAAAAATTAGAAGAAGCTAAATTATTTTTCTTATGGCTAGCCTACTAGGCTATATCTCAAGACACTAACAAGTAGAACTTAAACATTTCTGGGGCTTGTAAATGGGGGAAATGTTAATATAATATTTCAAGAAGGATCTGTTCAGAGCCCATTGCCAAGAGGCTAAAAAGAAATCCTTGCCTCTAAAGAAGTAAGTGTTATAATGTTTTGCAGAGGCAACAAAGGCTCAGAAAAGTGATGAGTACGCATGAAGTGATGTGTATATTATGTTTTTGTTTTTTAAGATTTCATTTTGATTCCTTAATGTGCTATATAAGATTGCTGGCAGAGCTGAAGGCTCTGGGCTATGTGGTCACGGCATCCAGCAGCTACAGACTCACCCCATGAAACAGACATACTGAGAAAGCAAGATCAAAACTCATTCTCATGTGCCAGAGCCAGCATGCCATAAGCACGCAGGAAAAGTGATCTTTACATACCTTCCTGCCCCATAATAAATAGGACTATATGCCCATTTCCAAATTGAGAAGAGACTGGAAGAGGGAAGAGGCTGTCTTTTCATTTATCCTTTCTTTAATTCTAAGTCAAACCCTTGTACCTGTTGTTTTTTTTGGGGGGGGGAATAAATGTAAGAAATACATTCTTAAATAAAATAATTTTGAAAGCTGCCAAGGAGAGAGAGATTTACAAAAGTGGGGCAGAGCATCATGTAATAGTCAAGTGAGTGTGCTTTGGTCACAGACAGTTTGGGTTTAAGTATCATGTTGTGACGTATTAGCTAGTATCTTTATGTGCGTTACTTCATCTTTGAACCTCAGTTTTCTCACATATAAAATGGAGATATATATACTTTATCACAGGGCCATCATTGAAAGTCTCTGTTTTAAAGCTTCTCATTGTCAAAACTCAGTCTATTACTTATTTCAGATAGCGGAACTTGTAGCAACTGAATTTTTTGATCAAGGAGACAGAGAGAGAAAAGAACTCAACATAGAGCCCACTGTAAGTATGAGACGTTGGTAGGAATTATTCGAATGCAATTTTTTAAATTGTTGACTCCTTTTAGGCTTCTATGGTATCTTTCCTAGGAGCGCAATTTCTCATTTTATTTTTTAAAACTTTTTTTTATACTAGAAGAATTGAAAATGTTCATTACAGAAATCAAAGCAAATAAAAGAGCGCAAAAAAGACTGTTGGGATCATCATATCATACTACTTTTTTTGTAATTTGCTTTTTCCATTTAATACCATAAACCACTTTTCACTCTAACAAATGCTCTTCTATGTATTATTTATCATGTTTATGTGAAGTAGATGTAACCATATCTGCCATATTTGTAACTCACTGCCATGGTGTAATGATGTTTACCGTATTCGCTGTTATAAACAGCACTCTGATAAACTTCTTTGTTACTTAACTGTTGCATGCCGTTCTTTATTATCTTGTTAGGACAAATTCCCAGAATTGATGTGCTGAAGGGTAAAAAGAATGTAAAGGTTTTTGATACTGCCTTTTTACATAGAATATGGATCTCAAATACAAGAAAAAAAAATTTCACAAGCCACTTGTGTCTTTTAGAATGCATTTTCCTGGAAATGAAGCATAGGATTTTCCTCCTCTGGTGGGGGTGCAAGGATGTGGCTGTAGTTGCTGTCTGACCTTCCAAGGCTAACCTGCTGATTCATCTTTTTAGAGCCAGCTTTCATTGTGATCTTTAAATAAATACATATTTGTGTGTGTCTGTGTTTTTATTTTCAGGATCTTATGAATAGGGAGAAGAAAAACAAAATCCCAAGTATGCAAGTTGGGTTCATAGATGCCATCTGCTTGCAACTATATGAGGTATTTATATGAAAACTGCTAAGCTTGTTAGACTATTATGAACTAAATCCTAAAGTAAGTTGAAGAGTTTAACACCCAGCACATATTTTTTGCTTCTAAATCAAGAAATAAAATTGTCATTAGTATTGTTTCTTTTTCATTTATTTATTTTTTTATTTTTGAGTTGGAGTCTCACTCCGTCGCCCAGGCTGAAGTGCAGTGGCACGCTCACAGCTACCACAGCATCAACCTGCTGGGCTCAGGCAACTCTTCCTCCTCAGCCTTCCAAGTAGCTGGAGCTACAGGCTCGCACTACCACACCCGGCTAATTTTTTTATTTATTGTAGAGATGAGATCTCGCCAAGTGGCTAGGCTGGTCTTGAACCCCTAAATGCAGGCAATTCTCTTGCCTCCGCCTCCCAAAGTGCTGGGATTACCAGCTGAGCCACCCTAGTATTGTTTCTTTTACTAACGAACATGATGTTTGTTTGAACAAGGAACACATTTTATATTTACTGTTGAGTAAGTAGTATCTATTGAGTGCCTACTGTGTGCTCGTCTCCAACAAATTGATTTAAGAAGTGCTAAGAAGAATCATGTGCTAATGCCACTCTCAAGAAAGTATATTGGGGGGGTGAGGAAGGGTGCAAAAAAAAGTTTATTGTAATCATTATGTTTTAGCATATTCTTTTTAAGTCTGAATTTTAGCCTAAATAAAGAAAAATAATTATCCATCTTAGTCTTGTCATAACATGGCTTTAATATTGTTTACAAAAATTCTTATGTGAATTAAAGGGGTAGCTAGAAAAATATTGCAGGCTTCCTTTCCATACATCTGCTGGCTTGGCTTTAGTTTTGGGGGGTTTTCTTTGGTTTTGGTTTTTGTAGGTAAATAGATTCTCCCTAAAACTTCAGAAGTATTAGCTTAGAAGTTTATGGCCCACATACAGAAGGAAGAGGTTGCCTTTGTCTTTAAAAAATTAAACAGGAAACTGTTTTAAGTTTCAGATATTAAAACTCAGTTTATAAAAAACTCAGATATAAAAAACTCAGTTTTAATGGAGTTACCATAGAATGTCACCCAAGGCCAGGAAAAACTTAAAAAGTTTTCCAATCCAGACGTTTTACAGATTCAGTAATTGAGTTTGTAAAGTTCATCTCCCCAAACAGGTAGTTCTGGGAGAGCTGCCCCTAGAGTCCAGTTCTCACCTCAGGCCAGGGTTCTAGTCATCAAAACAATTTCATAAAGAAGCTGTGACTGAGGAAAGGACAAGGACACCAAAAGAAACATGGAGAAAAAAGAAAAGGTGTGATACCTCCATCATTGCCTCCCATGTTTTTCAGGGTTCTACTTATTTGCTCCTTTGTTGACAAGTTCTTACTCAAGTATGTTCAGAGCACTGTTTTAAACACACACCCTTGAATGTCTCATTGTTCCCATAACAGATAATTTCCTATTGATTGGATTAATAGTTTCTTGATTAAAAATAGTAAAGGCTCTTTTGCTTTTTCCCCAGCCCTGTAAATACAGTCAACATAGGAATTAGATCACCTATTATAAATTTTATCCTTCTATGTTTCATACACACACACACACACACACACACACACACACACATTTTCATTTTTACTTGAATCTGCTGTTGAAAATTCTATGTGCTATTGATATGCTTTTACCATTATTTATTATAGAAGTAACATGTTCTCACTGTAGAAAAATCAGAGAATTACTGAGAAGCAAAAAGGAAAATAAAATCACTTATAATCCCACTACCTCGAGATAACTATTCATATTAGTGTATGGGGGAACCCAAAATAAGCCCAGAATTTGTTTACTAAAAATTGTATATTTATTCTTACATTTTTTAAAATTTAAATTTAAATTTTTTATTATAAAGATGTGGGGTACAATTCAGGGTTAGGTATACAAACATTGATTATGCAGGTACCCTTGTTGATGAGGTATGCCCCTCCCTCCCCTAGCAGTTCTGTCAACTGCCAATCCCACCCCCCCCACCGCTGCCTGACAGTTTCCCACTACTGCCAATCCCTTTCTTATAGTATTATAATTGTTCAAGGTCCGCTTATGAGTGAGAACATATGGTACTCTGTTCTTTGTTTCTGTGATAGATCACTAAGTATGACTGACTCTAAATCCATCCAAGTTGCTGCAAAATCCATATGCTTGTCCTTTATGGCTGCATAATATTCTGTTGTGTACATGTTCCACACTTTTTTCATCCAGTCCAGCTTTGATGGGCAACATGATTGGTTCCATACTTTTGCTATTGGGAATAGAGCTACAACAAACATATATGTGCAGGTATCTTTTTACATATGTAGGTATCTTTTTTGTAGAATGCTTTGAGTTCCTCCGGGTATATTCCCTATAGGGGAATTGCTGGGTCATATGGAAGGTCAATTTCTAGTTCTTTCAAAAATCGCCACACTGTCTTCCAAAGAGATTGCACTAGTTTGCATTCCCACCAGCAGTGTAGAAGCGTTCCTTGTTCTCAGCATCCTCACCAGAATCTATTCTTGTTTGTTTTTTAGTGATGGCCATTCTTACTGGGGTTAGGTGGTATCTCAATGTGGTTTTGTTTTGCATTTCTCTGATGATGAGTGAGGCTAAGCACTTTTTCTTGTGTCTGTTGGCTGCCCATATATCTTCTTTTGAGAAGTGTCTATTCATGTCTTTTGCCCACTTTTTAATGGGGCTGTTTTTTCCTTTCAGTGCGTTTGAGTTCCTTGTAGATCCTAGATGTTAGACCTTTGTCAAATATACAGTTGGCAGATATTTTTTCCCACTCTGTGGGCTGTCTCTCTGCTCTCTTGATGATTTCTTTTGCTTTGCAGAAGCTCGTTAGTTTGATGAGGTCTTGCTTGTCTATTTTATTTCTTAAGGTATTGGCATTTAGGGTTCTGTATAGGAATTGGTTGCCAGTTCCAATTTCTATAAGGGTGCCTCCTGCGTTTTCAAAGATTCTTATAGTTTGAGGTTTTACATTTAGGTCTTTGATCCATTTAGGTTAATTTTTGTGTATGGTGTTAGGTAGGAGTCCTGTTTCAATCTTCTGCATGTGGTCAGCCAGTTTTCCCAGCACCATTTGCTGAGGAGGTCCTCCTCTCCCCAGTGGTTGTTGTTGGAGGCTTTGTCAAAGATGAGTTGATTGAGAAATTGAGGCTTTGCTTCCAGAATCTCTATCCTGTTCCATTGCCATTGGTCTGTGTGCCTATTCTTGTACCAATACCAGGCTGTTTTGATTATTGTAGCCTTTTAGTAAAGTTTGAAGTCTGGAAGTGTGATACCTCCTGCTTTGTTTCTTTTACTAAAGATTGTTTTGACTATCCGTGGTCGTATATGTTTCCGTATGAATTTCTGTATTGTCATTTCCAGGTCTGAGAAAAATGATGTTGGTAACTTTTCTCTTTTTTTTTTGAGTTGGAGTCTCACTCGCCCCCCTGTCTGGAGTGCAGAGGCACGCTCCCGGCCACCGCAGCCTCGACCCGCTGGGTTCCGGCGATCCTTCCTCCTCGCCTTACGAGTAGCCGGAATTACAGGCATCCACTACCATGCCCGGCTGATTTTTTTGATTTATTGTAGAGATTAGGTCTCGCCAAGTTGCCCAAGCGGGTCTCGAACCTGTGGGCTCAGGCAATCCACTCACCTCAGTCTCCCAAAGTGTAGGATTACAGGCTGAGCCACCGAGGCTGGCTGATGTTGGTAACTTAATGGATATTGCGTTGAATCTCTTATTCCCACATGTTTATACTTCAGTCACCGTCAAAGTACTTTCCATCGAGACACTTTTTCCACTGCTCAAAACAGTTTTTGACCTCATCAGTTTTGATCCCTTTTAGAACTTCTGCCGTTTTTTGTTTCACTTCTTCCACATCAGCAAAACATTTCCCTCTTTTCATCCAGGGAAATAAAAAAAAGTTACTGGGGCAAAATCAGGTGAATTGGGAGGGTGGGGCACAGACATCATGCTGTTTTTTTGTCAAAAACTGCTGAACAGTCAGCACGGCGTGGGTAAGTGTGCTTTTAAATCACCTATAATGAACTGGGCAAATGCATTGAAAGAATCTCCAAAAAATATTCACTGAAGCCAAACTCAGTCTATCACAACAATGCTAAATAGTATACTGATGTCAGTGGGTTCCTAGAATACTTACCTAGCTGAGGAAGTACTACAAGGGGCCCATCTTCCAAAAAATAATTCCGTTTTTTAAGGGCCCTTCCCACATATGTGCTTTATGACATTCTCATATACTTTTCACTTAACAAAAATTGCTTTTTGCGATCCATAATATACCATAGTTAAACATATCTTATGTGTCAAATGTGTTTCTATGACTTTTTTTTTTTTTTTGGAGGGTAAGAAAGCAGGAGTTTATTAAGAAGACCAAAAAAGCTCCCAAGTGGGAGGGGACTTGAAAGAAGGTTGCCCTCTATGACATTTTTAATGGCTACAAAATAGTAACACAATATACCTAACCCTGTTGCTGGGAATTTGTCATTTTCATTGTTTCTCTATACAAAGAAATCTGCAATGAACCTTCTTGTGGAAATATTTATGACACTATAGTTGGTAAATAATAATGCAACTCAGAATTATGAATTACTCTTTATTATAAAGCAATCTTGGGTGAAAACCTATTTAAGTACATTGTACAAAATCATTCTACAGGCCGGGCTTGGTGGCTCAGCCTGTAATCCCAGCGCTTTGGGAGGCCGAGGTGAGTGAATTCCCTGAGCCCGTGGATTCAAGACCCACCCGGGCAACTTGGTGAGATCTCATCTCTACAATAAATCAAAAATTAGCCAGGCATGGTAGCTACTTGGAAGGCTGAGGCGGAAGGATCGCCGGAGCCCAGCAGGTCGAGGCTGC